TTATGATTTGGTGGTATTCTAAATTGCATGCAATAGGCTGGCTTCAATTTATTTAAAATGGTTTTTAGATTAGAAAATTGAAGTGGTGAAATCTTTATAATCAGAACACTTTCAAGGTAACTTTATTAATTTACACATATTTTACGAAGTGCTTCAATCTTACTAGTACTTTGTTATGATTCATATTTTCCATTACGGCAATACATCATTAACACATACAAGAAATAGAATAACCACATAATCATCTAATTATCATAATCCTACATTAAATTATACGTAGTACATAGTATATTCTCCTCTATAGTTCTCAAAATGTACGTGTTCATATACGATACGAGGATCTGTTCATATATGTCCCAACTCCACGATTATTTTTAAATTTTAATTGATTGGTAAAAATGAGCTATATGATATCGGATTGTTTTTGAAATATCAATATATAGGCAAAGTTTTTTATCTTACCAAATTGTTTTTTTGATGTTAAAGATCTTACCAAATTGTTAAGCAGTCTTTTTATACTGCCTTCGTCTCACTAACATTGAAACATGATGATGTGATATGAATATTAAGAAAAATGGAGTTATTTAATTGATATTGAATTGATAAAGTAAGGACAAATGATAAATGATTTAGAAATTAGAACCACTCAAACTTTGTCAAAATTAGTATTCCGTATGAGACAATGTTAGTGAGACCGAAAAAGAAAGATATGACAATCTTACCGTGACGAAGAAGAAAGTACTTATTTGGTAATTTGGCTGCATTAAGTACCAAGTGTTTTTCGTTTTTCCCCATATTATTATGTTCCAGGAAAAGGATGTGTTGAACTGTATGTTGATCCTGATTAATTAATAATTCATGGAAGACAAGACTCATATCCCTCAAATTGAAGTAATACATGCATTAAATTAAAAAAATTAAATTAAGTTTAATACTAATATTCCTTTCGATCAACATTCAATTTTGTAAACTTCTTCCGTTACTAATGAATGAAAGTCAAAGTTCAAGTGTAGCTTTTGTAGCCCATGAATTTTGTTCAACTGTTTAACCGTTGAATCATTCAGTTCGTCTCTCAAAAGCTCACTTTCTTTTACTAATTGAATCGACTGCGTAGTGTGATTCACGGAGTAAATTACTAGTACCTCACTAGACATTAAAACTGACCTTCAAAAATGAAAGTTAACTTTACCGAAAATCAAATCATACCTTATTGAATTGTATAATAATCAAAATAAACAATGTACTTTTATATGTAGTACAAAAGACCATTTTAAATATCTTTCATACGTAGTACATACATAGTATATTTGAATAAAGTTACTACAAAAGACCATTTTAAATATCTTTCATACGTAGTACATGCGTAGTACATTTTTTTTCTTTATTTTTTTTATAAAATTTATTTTAGATACGATTTTTCAACAATTTAATCAGTTCAACCAATTCAGTTCTTCAATCAAAATATAATAGTAGTATAATCAATTTCAACATATCTGGTCGATTCAGTCAATTTTATTCTTCTCAAACATCGTGCGGCATCGAAGGTGAACAACGGGAAAGGTAAGCATTGTACACTGGGCGGCAATGTGGGGCCTATGATGGTGCACGATGATGCACAGGAGCGGCATCGAAGGCAGATTGCATGAGAAGAGGCACCATGCCAAATGCGGTGGCGCCGACCATAGGGGCGACGAATAAAGAACAGAAACGGAGGAGGTGTGTTCATGCTTATTAGGCTGGCTGAAGAAAGAAGAAGATATGATATAGGGTTTACTGAAATTTTATATATGAGGATATTCGGACATTTCAATAATTTAGAGCCCATTTGGAGAACTCTGTTTTCGGCTTATCAGGCTTATCGGCCAGCTTTTTCACCAAACACGTAACTTTTACTTTCGCGCGCTGAATTGTGTAATAAGCCGAAAAAGTAAGGTTGGAGTTACTTTTCTGGATGTATTCGCTGAAGTTACTGTAGAGGACCATTTTAGCTATTTTTACATATAATTTTTTCTTTAATTTATTAATAGAATATATTTTTAAAATATTTTTTCTTAAATCAGCAGAATCAGCCAAAACAGCCACTCCAACCAGAATATCATAAATTTCAGCAGAATCAGCCAAAACAGCCGATTTTGGTGCTACCAAACGGGCTCTTAATAATAAGGTCTCTTTTTGTCCAATCAAAATTCAATCTTATTTTTGTCCATTCAAAACCTAATATTATTATTTATCTCTCTTTTTTTTTAAACAAAGAAAGGAGCTCGCTTTTATTAAAAAGACAAATAAGTAAAGTACAAGGAAAGAAAAGAAAGCAAACAAAAATAACAAAGAGTACAAAGGGAGATAATTTTCCCAACCCAAAGTGCAATAAAAAATCCCTTCCTTAAATTTCCGAAGTGCTCAAAAGGAGTTCATAGTTCCAATCTTGATTGAGATCTTGTCCTCATTAGATGTGACCATTGGTTCCGCTTTCTGTAATTTTTTTGGCGTGACCAGTAGAGCTTTATAGCAAATATCTCTTTCTTTCAATATATAAGACATTTATATATTTAAACGAATTGGCGGTTTTTTTTTGTTCAAATATCCCCCCCCCCCCCCCCCCCCCCTTTCTACTTTCACACTGTATTATGGTCTTTTTCTTCCAACTTATTTTCACTACTTTTGGCCAACCAATATAATTGATCAATTTATTTTGCTCCTCACTACAATGGCAATCTTGCATTGATGATTTTTATGTGATTAAATACTTTTTGAATAAAATGACAAAGAATTAGAGGAAAAAATATTAGACGGGACCGTTCTTTCATCATCAAAAGGAGGTTGTTATCTATATCATTTGCTGATGGACAAAAAAGAAAATCAACATAAATTTCAGGATTTATTTTGGTGGAGGCTTAAAATAAAATGTACTATATTTATAGGGACTAAAAAACACATTTAAACTTTTTTCTAAGTATATTATTAAGTTCTGAATACTTTTTATAAACATAACATTACAATATTGTCGCTATTTTTTGTAGCAATATTGTAACAGCAAGAAGATAAAAATATTTAAAGCAACACAATAATACAGTTATAATGTAGTACTAATTACTAAAAATAAACAGATATGTAAAAGTATATATATTATACGTGTTTTTCCAGAATTTGTCAAAATATAAAAATCTAAAAAGATAAATATATAAACTGATATATTTATATTTTTCATTTTAATAGTGAATGATAAACAATTACGTTATTTCATACTTGGTATATCATACTCCAGCTAATATAAAAATATTAGAACATTATAATTGGTTGTTATCGATCCATTAACCCGCTCCATTGGTAACTTTACTCATTATTAATAAAATTACTTTAATATATTATAAATTTATTTTTGTAGGTCATACACGCATGTGTGAAATTTGAAGATTTTTCTACCGCAAAGTAGACTTTTTGAGAGAAAATTACATGTTAGTGACACCTTTTCTGGTATTTTTTTGTCAGAAAATGCACATTATGATGAAAAATCTCTAAATTACACAGATTAGCTACATGACTTAATTTGAGAGCGAATAAAATTACAAAACCAAACATAGCTGGACTAAAATGACACCTTCCACAATAGTAATAAACTACTAATAATGAACACCCATGCCTTAACCAGTTTAGAGCAACGTCGGGTAGATGTAGAGCCTATTCGGAGCAAGGTGAAACTCAAATTTGTCTGAATCGGCTAAATACGCTGAAATTGATGAAATTCTTGATGAATTGACTTAATTGGCTTAAAATGTTGACTTATGAAAATTTATAATTAAAATATATTTTATTAATAAAATAATTAAAAAATTATATGAAAAAATAACTAAAATGATCCACAGTAACTTCATCTTATTCAGTTAGAAAAGTAGCTCCAACATATCTTATTGGGATAAGGGTCAGATAGGGCCTCGAACTTCGAAAAAAATGTCAAATAAGGCCATATTTAGGCTGCTATGTCCGGCTAACGCCATTTGGGGCGGTTCCCGGTGGAATTTTTTGATGATTTTTTTTTGAGAATCTTATTCATTAAGTCTAGTTTACTCATATCAAATTTGAACTACCAATTCAATCGGGAAGGCATTCAAATGAATTCTTGAAGATAATTGCGCTTTTAACTGCACAGTTATCTACAAGAATTCATTTGAATGCCTTCCTGATTGAAGTTTTAGTTCAAATTTGATATGAGTAAACTAGACTTAATGAATAAGATTCTCAAAAAATTTCATCAAAAAATTCCATCGGGAACCGCCCCAAATGGCGTCGGCCGGACAGAACATCCTAAATATGGCCTTATTTGACATTTTTTTTCAAGTTCGAGACTCTATCTGACCCTTATCCCTATCTTATTTCAAAAACAAAATTAAAATTTCTTGGTCAACAATAATCAACTTTGACCAATGATATTTTTTATAACGAAATTAATTTGAATATGAAAATTATATTAAAATGTTCTTCATTAAAAATATACAAATATAATAATTAAAGTCATTGTCCAAAAGTTGTGCTATCATTGACAACAAAATCAATATAGCAATCTTTTTTATAAATTTACAAATTATATAGAAATATAATAATTAAAGTCATTGTACAAAGATTGTCATCATTGAACAAGAAAAATCAATATACAAACTTTTTCGGAACGAAAGTAACAAAGAAAAATTAATTCATAATTATGATGAGCCCAAAAACAAAGTCCCATGAAAAAATCAAAAGTCACTCAATATCTATGTGAGATGTTACCATCTCTACGGGAGTCAATATGTACTATCAAGTATCAACTGTTTCATTCTGATACCAAAATCCCCACCTACAAAATACGAATAAAATTTTAACAAGTTGGGGCTGATCTGAGATTACATAAAATATGAGGACCAACCTCCCAAGAATGATTAAACAACTATATATTGATACTACCCAGGATACCACTATTTTGGGAAAACCACTTGCGGAGGGCCCCCAATTTTAAACCCACTACTCAAAATTTCCTCCTTTATAAAACCTCGCAATCCTCCATTTTCACCATCTTCGAAAGTCATTCATAGTTTGAAGGAAGAAGAATCAGCCATGCGGATGAGCTGTAACGGATGCCGGGTTCTCCGGAAAGGATGCAATGAGAAATGCTCCATCAAACCTTGCCTCCAGTGGATCAAATCCCCTGAAGCGCAGTCCAACGCCACCGTCTTCCTTGCCAAGTTCTACGGCCGCGCCGGGCTTCTCAACCTCATCAACGCCGGCCCCGATCATCTCCGCCCTGGTTAGTTAGTGTACGAAATTGCCTCGTAGAACAGAGCTTAGTTCAATTTCATTACGTCCCCTGGCCTGGACTGACATTTCTTCTTTTTGTGCTATGAAAAATTGAATTGCTTGCAGCAATTTTCAGATCGTTGTTGTATGAAGCTTGCGGGCGTATTGTGAATCCGATTTATGGATCGGCTGGGCTGTTGTGGTCCGGCAACTGGCACCTTTGTCAGGCAGCGGCGGAAGCCGTCCTCAGCGGCGCGTCGATCACGAAGCTCTCGCCGGACTCGGCCGCCTGCACAGTGAGCCCTTCCCTCAAAGCGTGTGATATCCGCCACGTCTCCAAAGAGGATAGCTCCGCTGTTGCGGCGGCAACCTCGGGGGATCTGCACAAAGTTAACGCCCGCTGCCGGTTCAAGCGGGTCGGGTCGGCAAGGCCGAAGAATAGCGCGGGTTCTTCCGACGTCGATGACGCGGCTCGAGTCATGTGGAGCTGGAGCCACAGGGAGGGCCGGGTCGGTTCTCCAAGCCAGGACTCCGAGCAGCCGAGCCGATTCGGGGAAAGCGGCGGAGACGCCAACAGCGCGTCGGTGGAGACCGTGGAGGCGTCCTTGGCCAAACCGGATGACGAAAGCGACGTCGAGTTGGAGCTGAGCCTTGGTTGGGAGCCGATCTCAAGACACTGGAAATCGACGCCTGCTGAATGCGCCGGCGGCTCCGATAAAGCCGCTTGTCGAATGGAACTGTAAAGACGGTTTTGACCTCCGCTGTAATGTGTTTTCTCGTTTTAACAGTAGGTAGTTTTTGGTAATTCCTTTTTATTTGGGCCGCGATCGAGATGTAATACCTTAGGCAATGTGGATCGTGGATGCCTCTCACAGGAACAGAGAAAGAGGTCATTTATTTAACAAAACACTTTTCCTTATTAGCTAGCTTCCCGGCGATGAATAAAATGAAATTTAATAAAATGACGTCACGTTGTTTATTTATTTTCATTACATTAAGAATAACACCAGTTATAAAATTGAAATTCAGAAATAAATATAAAGAGAACAACGTTATATACTTTCGAGTAAATATAAAGAGAACAACGTAATATACTTTGGAGTAATGTTTCAATGTAATGGTCTTGTTTAATCCCCGTAATATGTGTCTTATACTAACCCATCTTTTTTCTAAACAAATTTAAATTACAATTTTATTTTTTAACCATTTTTTCAACGTTTGTGCTAAAGTAAACAAAAAAATTGTTTCAAGACGGAGAGAGTAATAAATACTTACTCCATCTCTACCAAAAGCTAGATCCAGACCTAAGCTTGTAACGCTAGGATGGAGATCGAGGCGAGGCGCAAAGAGAGGTGTGATCCCACACCAAATCACCCGCCCATTGTCGTTCGGACAATACTCTTTGTCATCCTCACCAACTTGGCTCAGAACTTGGCGGCTCTCAACGCTCCTATCCCAACGAGCGAAAACTTGACACCTCTTCTTCCTCCATCACCTTTCCTAGTAACCAACCAGCTGCAAATCATCAATTTTGAGAACACTGTCCTTGAGGTGCCCTCGTCCAACAACGTGCATCTCAACCTCAAGCATGGACAAACTCCAGGAAGTGTAGAGACCCTACTTCCCCAGGAGAGCCAAGTAAGTGTTCCGGACAACGGACAAACAATAATCCCTCAATAAGGGGAAGAAAAAGCTCCTCGAAAAGGATGCAACACACCATAGTAACTGGGCGCACGCCGAGAGCTTGCAACCCCGCCACCAAGAGGCCACTACAAGGGAAGGGACCCCAAAAATGAGCTAGTTGTCCAGCTCGAGCGGCGCTTGGCCCAGATTGTGGTACTCCAGAGGCAGCCCGACAAAGCAGTCATATTGGCAAATTGTGACCCCGTCATTGCCTCCTTACTCTAGAAGGTCGACAATCTTTAGCATAATGTAGTCGAGGAGCAGGGAAGCCCATCATCCAGGTACGAATGCGGACACCCTTCATCTCCAGGGTTCTCTCCATCCCCGTTCCAAACAAATACATGAGCCATACCATCAAACAGTATGATGGCAAGACCAACCCCCAAGAGCATTTCAGCGATTATCACAACGAATTTTAGCGTAAATACAGTCTCAGATTTGAAATTCGGTTTGATAGGTAGTCTTCTCATAATAATTTGAAACCAACGCCCGAAGACGAGTTTTAGAACTCAATAAGATCTTTCCAACGAGGTAGAAAACGCTTTAAACAGAACTAAATACAGCAAGATATGATCAGATCAATTACTACACGTGTTTGGAGTGAAATTGAGAATTTTTATGAATTTTTTAAGTTAATCTATAAGTTATATTTTATGCATTGTAAATTGAGTAGGAACAATAGCTTTGGAATTCAAAATGATCTTTCCAACAAGATATAATACGCTTGAAACGGAAGAACGTGGAACAAGATATGAGTATCACAAATAATAAGCCTCAACTCTATGATTTAACGTTTTCGGCATAAATAGAGCATTTTTTGTGTAACCACTGCGTGGGATTTGAAATTCGGTTCGATAGGTAGTCTTCCCGTAAAATTTGAAACCGATGCCTGAAGACAAGTTTTAGAACTCGATAAGATCTTTTCAACGAGATAGGAAACACATTAAACGGAACTAAATACAGGAAGATACAATCAGATCGATTTCTACACGTGTTCGGATTGAAATCGGAAATATTTGAGAATTTCAGGTTAATTTGTATGTTATACTTTATGCATTGTAAATTGAGTCAGAACAATAGCTTTAGAACTCAAAATGTTCTTCCCAACGAGATATAATACGCTTCCCACGAAAGAACGTACAACAAGATATGAGTGTCACAAATAATAAGCCTTAACTCTGTGATTTAGCGTTTTTAGAGAAAATAGAGCATTTTTTGTCACGCCCCGGACCTCCCCGGACACGTCAACAACCCGCCGTACAATACGAATAGTCAACCGCAGTCCAACACATTCATATTATACAAGGCGTCTTGAATATCATTCACACACATAACATCCACAAACAAACATAATAAGTAATTCATAACGCAGCGGAAAACATTGTTTAAAACAAAAGAGCCACACAGGGCTATTCATGAGCACGCAGGCTCTATAGTAAAATATCCATGAGCAAATTTATTAATGTTTCAAATAGAATGGAGGAAGCACGAACCAAGTCTTCTCTCCGAGGGATCACTCGATCAACGAGCACAGGATGCAAGCTTTAGCCTCAACCTGAAATGGTGGTGGGACGCCCCCGAAGGGGTCAGTACTCTATACGGCTATAAAGTACTGGTGTGGCAGGCATCTAATAGATATACAACAAGTATTTCAAACACAAGACCCTCAAATAGGGTGATAGTACATTATGATTTGTAACCCTAAGTTACCCCGTTTGAAAATATACTTACTTTATGTAAAAGTCAAGTAGTCGGCCCGTGGGCCCATGTTCATTTAGAAATCACCATTCCCATTCCCCGTGACTATAAGCCACGACAACTCATAGAGTCCAACCCTAACACATGACATTGTATTCTAGAGCTCGGCTCTACCACATCACCATACAATTCATGTCACTCGGGTCAATGTCCTTACCTTGCGTTCTAGAGCTCGGGTCTATCACATCACCACGCAAGCCCTAGAGCTCGGCTCTAGCTATTCAATACATAGACTACAAGTCTACCACCTTACCATGCATCCTAGAGCTCGGCTCTATCACATCACCATGCATGAAGGTCCAATTCTTAAGCAACCCTATGCCTAGAATTGACATATCAATAAACTACCATGGATCATCCTTAAAGACTTCCCACCACTTAACCTTAGTTTCATACTAAGTCATCATATACACTTGAAGTATATTCAAGTGCATTTCATACAATCCAATCCCTAGGATCAATTCCATCAACAATTTCCAATAATCACTAACTAGTATTTCAATACTATTAAGATTATTGTTATCATACAAATATGCTCATTATTTGTAATCCTCTACATATTTATAATTATGTAGCAGCAACTTAAGTGTTCAATCTCAATACATAAACATTCATTTATGTATCCACATAATTCATACATGAGTAAAATGCCTATTTCACAAAATAGTTCATTTATAACTCATTTAATCTCATTTTATTCATACATTCTCAAATCATTTCCAATTTCATTCTTTGGCAACTATATCCATATTTCATCATTATATCATCATCATAATCCATAAAAATTATGATTTAGGCATTTAGGTAATCTCATTCTTAACCTACAAGTTGTAAGGAATTAGATGTCAATCCTCACCTCAAATGAGCTTTAAAACCTTCCTTATCGATCCAATGACCAAAGCCTCGGCCAAGGAAGCTTGAGAACTGATTCCTTTCTTAGGAATGAGTGTTAAACAGCCCCCTCAAAGTGCTAGTTCAACCCCAAATCGTTGATACGAAAACAGCCCCTAGAATGGGTGTTTTCCGGCTAACTCGTTTCGTAGTTTTCCAAGATTTGCTCTAGAATAGTATCTAACCTTTATATCAATAAAATAACTTATAAAGACATATTATACACTTGGATTAGTGTATAATAGTTCCACCAATCGTTCATATCATTTGGAAAATGAAAGGAAAGGTGTTGGGGGTTCAAAGTCTTCAAACTCACTTTAGAAGATTAAATCCGTTCCTGCGAGGTTGCGTTTTGCTCGGACGATTTGGAAGCCTTCAACTAATCCGATTGATGTAAACCAGACCTTCACGGATTCCTCGTCTTGAGAGCTTTCTTTTGGTATCTCTCACGCCTTATTTGGATGTGTATAACTCGAGATATGAAGCAAACAAGTAACCTTACGCACTGGAAAAACTACCTGCGGACAGCTTGCTCTCTCCTTGGCTTCTCTTGGTTATGTGGCTCTCTCCTTCTCTCTTATCTTGGGAAGTTCGAATGGGGGGTTGTGGGAGTGTTATCTTGGCCTTAACTTAGCCTCAATAGTCAAAGGATAGGAGTGGGTTGGCATGTGGGATGATGGAGTAAGATACCTTCAATCAAAAAAGATGGGGAGAGGGTCCAATTGGTTCTCAAACATGTCTTGTTCAGCCCCCTCTCTTTTTGTCCGCCCCAACCAAGAATTTTAACCCATTCTCTTTATTTTGCAGGTGCCAAGAAGGTGTGGGGTGCTCCCCAAGTGATCCCAATTAATTTGGGGTCCAAAATATCTACCAATACTTCCAAAAATGGGAAAATGGGTCCTATTGTTTTATCTTTTGTCAAAGATGTCTTTTTGTACTTATCCTAATTTATTTAGAGCAAGTAAACTTCCTCCATCACATTATTGATCCCCAATATGTGTAGGCTCATCTCAATAATTTACTTGATGGATATCATAGAAGGAAAATCCTACTCCCATTATTTAGCTAAATAATGCTAAAGGTGGGGCTATAGGCATTTGTATTCTTCTTTAATCATTCTATGTTGGGCTCTTTTATTTATTAATAAGTCCTGAATAAGTATTTGCAAAACCCGACACTAATGTACGAGTTTGAACAGTACAATAATCAATCATGTACTACGTAAAAGATTAATCGTTTTACAATTGTTTGGAAGTCGGAAATTCACTATGTAAACTTTGAATTTTAAATGGAATTTTCAAGGACGTTCGGGCGCGGTGTCACAAGTTCACCCCCCCTTAACAGGAATTTCGTCCCCGAAATTCACAGCTCTACTCGAATAGGAAAGCATACTGCTTCCTCATCAAAGCCTCTGTTTCCCATGTCTCTTCTTCGACCCGATCGCTCTTCAAAAGGACTTTAACCATTGGGACTTCTTTGCTCCTCAGTTTCTTCACCTTTCTATCGATGACCTTGATAGGTTGCACAGCGTAGTTCAAATCCTCACGTACCTCTACAGGTGGCTTCTCCAATACGTGAGAGGGATCATGCACATACTTCTTACGCATGGATACATGAAACACATTATGTATCTTCTCTAATTCAGGAGTTAACTGCAGACGATATGCTACGGCCCCAATCCTCTCTATAATTTTGAATGGACCTATGTATCGTGGA